ACTGGGAGGGACTGGGGGCAAAAAAACCGGTGGTTTTAGGGTGAAAAATGGGGATTTTGGGGTGAAAAATGGGGATTTTGGAGTGAAAAATGGGGATTTTGGAGTGAAAAATCGGGATTTTCGGGGTGCAAATGGGACTGGGACGGACTGGGTTATACTGGTTTATACTGGGGGCAAAAAACCCGGTGGTTTTAGGGTGAAAAACGGGGATTTTGGGGTGAAAAATGGGGATTTTGGAGTGAAAAATGGGGATTTTTGGGGTGCAAATGGGGATTTTCAAGGTGCAAATGGGACTGGGAGGCACTGGGTTATACTGGGTTATACTGGGAGGAAAAAACCCGGTGGTTTTAGGGTGAAAAATGGGGATTTTGGAGTGAAAAATGGGGATTTTGGAGTGAAAAATGGGGATTTTTGGGGTGCAAATGGGACTGGGAGGGACTGGGTCATACTGGGTTATACTGGGTTATACTGGGTTATACTGGTTTATACTGGGTTATACTCGGTTATACTGGGAGGGACTGGGGGCAAAAAACCCGGTGGTTTTAGGCTGAAAAATGGGGATTTTGGAGTGAAAAATGGGGATTTTGGGGTGCAAATGGGACTGGGAGGGACTGGGTTATTCTGGGATGGACTGGGTTATACTGGGTTATACTGGGTTATACTGGGAGGAACTGGGAGGGACTGGGGGCAGAAAACCCAGCGGTTTAAGGGTGAAAAACTGGGATTTTGGGGTGAAAAACGGGGATTTTCAAGGTGCAAATGGGACTGGGAAGGACTGGGTTATACTGGGTTATACTGGGAGGAAAAAACCTGGCGGTTTTAGGGTGAAAAACTGGGATTTTGGAGTGAAAAATGGGGATTTTGGAGTGAAAAATGGGGATTTGCAAGGTGCAAATGGGACTGGGATGGACTGGGTTATACTGGGTTATACTGGGTTATACTGGGTTATACTGGGTTATACTGGGAGGGACTGGGAGGAAAAAACCCGGTGGTTTTAGGGTGAAAAATGGGGATTTTTGGGTGACAAATGGGGATTTTTGGACGAAAAGGTGACTGGGATGAACTGGCCCTTTCCCGCCCTTTTTGGTCACCATGGTTACAGCAGCCATTTTGACCCCTTTTTTCCCGCCATTTTTTGGTCGCCATGGCAACAGCGGCCATTTTGACCCCAGTTTCTTCCCGCCATTTCCGGTCGCCATGACAACAGCGACCATTTTGATCCAGTTCCTGTGGTTGCCATGGCGACAGCGGCCATATTGACTTCGCCTCATTCCCGCTGTTTTTGGTTGCCATGACGATGGCGGCCATTTTACCACTCCTTTCCCTGTCGCCATGACAACAGCAGCCATTTTGATCCAGTTCCCGTGGTTGCCATGGCGACAGCGGCCATTTTACCACTCCTTTCCCTGTCGCCATGACAACAGCGGCCATTTTGATCCGGTTCCCGTGGTTGCCATGGCAACAACGGCCATTTTACCACTCCTTTCCTTGTCACCATGACAACGGCAGCCATTTTGATCCGGTTCCCATGGTTGCCATGGAAACAGCGGCCATTTTACCACTCCTTTCCTTGTCGCCATGACAACAGCGGCCATTTTGAGCCAGTTCCCGTGGTTGCCATGGCAACAGCGGCCATTTTGATCCGGTTCCCATGGTTGCCATGACAACAGCGGCCATTTTGATCCGGTTCCCGTGGTTGCCATGGCAACAGTGGCCATTTTTACTCCTTTCCCGCCATTTCTTTTCGCCATGATGACGGCGGCCATTTCCCCTCAGCCGCCATTTTCCCCTCATTGCCCATTTTCCCCTCAGCCGCCATTTCCCGCTCCATTCCCACAATGCCAATTCCCCGTTCCCGCGGTCGCCACGGTGACAATTCCCGGTGGCCGCGGTGACCCCGCTGACCCCTCCCCCCCCTCTCTCTCTCTCTGCCCCTCCCCCCTCAGGCTGTGCCCGCACTCTGCACCGCTCGGTGCACGAGAGAATCTTCACCCTGCCCGAGAGCTGCCGCCTCTACCCCGGCCA